AACTTAACAGGTTTAAATTGTCCTCATGTTTAGGTTGGCAAAAACAAAAGGCAGGAAAGAAAGCATGTTTTTATTTAGAGGGAGATTTTTCTCAGTATTTTTCTGCATCAAACTGAAAACCATTCTTACACATCAATTTTCTAACAATATAATTAATGTAAATATAAAAGACTGGAGATGTGGTGACAGAAATATAAAGATATCTGTCATCAGCATATCAAAATAGTACAATATTTTCCTTTTTCAAAGTCTAAATAGCAGAATGATTGTATTAAGACTGTTTTAAAAAATCATTGCTATCTCACCTGACTTGCAACAAGTCTAAGAGAGGAGAGAAGTTGCTTGCTGATTATTTGTTTTTCAGGAAAATGAGCTTGCTTTGACTGATGCTGTTTGCATTTACTGGACTCAATGCTTAGTTCACATCCAACACCCAGAATGCATGTGACCAACACACTTAGAGGCGACTTGTAATATGATTCTTAAGATCTTGCAAAAGAACTGAAGTGCTACGATTTAGTCAGAAGTTCATTTACTTCATCTAGTTAAACAGAAGGCGATGCTGCAAGTGTTGCTTGATCTGCTGAATTAAACAATGAACAGATGAATATTTCTTTCAGATTAAAATTCAGTCGACAAAGCTCAAGCCTGACATAAAAGGTTCAAACTGCTTTAATGTGATTGGTTAAGGGCAGCTGGAACAGACACTGACATGGAGGTGCCATGTAAGCCCTATTCATACATTTATAATCATAAAAAAAAGGTTAAAAGAAGGACTGAAATAAAATCTTTTCCTACTAGGAGCCTCTTTCAACAGCTTACAAACTCTATAAAATCCTTTTTTTCTCTAGGTAAGAAATGCAGCTCCTTTAGAGAAATTTCACAAATAAAGCCGGCATGAATAATATGACTGAAATAAATAGTAATCTGTTAGTAGAACCAACTCCTCTGGCATTTAGATGAAAACACAGATCCTGTTTCTGTGGCTCTGATTCAATTCTGCACTGATTTCCATGTTGTTGCCATGAGCACCAAAGCTGGATGGACATGACAGCCAACAGCCTCTCACCCCTCCTCCTCTCACATCCATCCCTCCATTCCCATCACCACACCTCTATCTTTCATCTCTTTGCTTTTTCTCCCTACAGCTCAGCATTCATTCCTCTAAGTGCTTCATATTATCAGCAATTCCATTTCTGAGTTTAAAAATGTCAGACGTTTTTGCGTTATTGGATAATTACTTTGTCTGATCCGAGCTGTTGTCCCTCCCCCACCACCTGACTGTAAATTCTCTAAACCTCGAGGAATGTAATGTTTAAGGTTGACATTGAACAGATGGGGTGCAACCTCTTCAATTCAATAATTCAACACCTCTGTCAGAGCTGGATAACTGTCAGTGAGAGAACAAGATAAAAGCTTATCACAGATCTGTTCAATCCACTGCACAGTTTAGAGCCGTCACTGGTAAACAGATTTATTTCCTTAGCATTTATTGAAACATTACTTAAGGAAGAAAAATGTTAGAAATTTCTTTATAGAGTCTTTCAATGTGAAATATTGAAATTAGGAAGCTCCACTAATGTGTACATGGGTGGACCCAAGATGTAAGGAATGAAAACCACCAAGAGAAAAGACAAATTAGCATTTTGAAGAGCATCCACAGGCAAATTTGGTTCTCCCTCTCAGTGGGTATTTGCATTAACATTCACCCTGATCTTCTCTGTGAAGCGAATACAACAGGAATATTTTACTTTCTGTAAACGACTTTTCAAGGAAACTGTGGGAATTAAGGCTGAATGATTTAGCTAAAAATAAGAATTTAGATTACTTTCAACCAATTGCGATTTTATTGTGATTTTCCTTTGCACCAAGCAGAAGCATGTAGATGTTTAACTCCAGGGTTTCTGTTATTTCATGACCTTGAAAGCTTGATTGTCCAGAGTCCCTTTTTGCAGGATTTTACTGTGACCTTTGCTCGAAAAAGCTTTTATGTCAATCATGCATGGATCTGTGTGCTAGCTGTAACCCCCTCTTCACTTCCATGCGCCTGCAAACCACTTTAAGTGTATTACCACCACCTAAAGGGTTCGAGGGAGAAACTTTAATGTCTTTCTCTTGTTAAATCTCACGTGACTAAAACCGAGTGCCTCTGCTATTTCAGAAATGTGCGTTGCTAAATCGCGATTTTATTGCATGGGCAATTAACTGTACTGAATTTGTTTTCATTTGCTACCGAGTTCAAGGGAATTTTGATAGAAGTCTTTAAAATTACACATTTATCATTATCATAGAAACTTGCAATTCTGACTAGTTTTATAAAGACGCCCCAGATAATAGTGCAGCATGGAGCATCCTCAACCAACCACTGCTGCTCAGTAAAGGCAGTTGACTAAATTACTACAGCGCTATTTTCCTTGCTTATAATAAACAAAGATTTGGCAGTTTGGGAATATTTCTTGTTGCGAAAAAGCAGAGAATTACGTTGTGAAGAGTAAAAGCAGCATGAACCATCAATCTTATTATAAAACAGTTTTAAAATATGGTCTACAACAGTATAGTAGCCTGACTAGATACAGTAACCAGCCTATATTAGCCTCCCTGCACTGTGTTTGGACCTACGCTACAAAATGCAGTAAGACTTTTAAATACTGCACAACCGTTTTATTTTTATTTCAGTTTGGGGCTGAAGCAATTGATCTGATTAATCGTGATTAATCGATTATTGAAATAATCTTCAACTATCTTATTAATGGATTAAACGTTAACTGCAGTAGAGAGACTCTAGAACATTAGTTGACAGAGCAACCCATTTAGAGCACTTATTATATGTAAATTCCAAAAGAAAGTTTAAACATTTTTTTATTTAAGATTTAGGAAAAAAAATGTCTGTCAATGTGCTCTATCCAAGATCCTCAAGTGGAAAGTTTTAGTTTCACCTGGTTAAATTTAGTTAAAAAATGTTCTTTAAGGAATCTTTGGCTACCAGATTATTAGTCGATTGATTAAAAAAATTATCAGCAGAATAATCGATTTGCAAAATAATCTTTAGTTGCAGCCCTACTTTAGTTTACATATTATGCTTATTAGTACAATAGTACAGAAATCATTGCAAAGCACTTTACAAAACCAAAGGATATAACTTATATGCAGAAATATTGCCAATTCGGTTTAGTTATGCAGGTTAAAAGTCAACAGATACATACTGCAGATATTCCACATAGCTGTATCTTTAGCCATGCAATCTAAACTCTAATTATTGCTGCAGCAAAAACGAAGATGCAAGAAGTTTGACGTGTGGCTTCAAAAACCTCCAACTATCCTAACAGTTGCTGAAAGAAGCCAATAATTTGACACACTGCTGCAGGTGAAACAGCTACTGAGCAACACAAACGCACACAAAGTCAATTACAGAGCAGCTGTGACCCAGAGCCGCAGGATCATCATGACAGTGACTGATTGTTTCCTGGGCTACTGTTGTCACTGTGACAGCGAGTCGCCTCGACAGGAAGTTGACCTACATGCAGCACTGTGAACAACCCATAAGCACACAAATACACACAGAGTCAACTTGGAGCAGAAGCTCCACTGGGGGAAAAGAGAAATCCATGATAAATCAGAGCTTCCTGTTAAAAAAAACAAAAAAAAGATAAAGGAATCACACCCATATGTGCTACAAAGCTTCCTGCTTCCTTTAATGATCCAGGAAGTGACCTGTAAAGATTTTTTACAATCTACCGATAGGAGGAAGAGCGGCTTTTTATTTGTCAATAGTGGAAGAGGACAAATCAATGGAAAACCGCTTCAGGAGAACAGCAGCAAACAGTGGCGCCGGTCGAATTAGATACAAACCATCAGATATCTTCACTGTAAGACTATGAAAGATTTTCTCATTGCATAGGCTGTGTTCTAATTATTAGTTTAGCTAATTCTCTTCTGATACCACCTCTCTAAAAGCAGCAGATAGTGTCCCAATAAAAGCATCAATTACCACAGCTAGGAGTGGGAAAGGTTTGATTTAAAGCATGCATAATTATTCGTTTTTTATGCATCTTTAGCCTTGGAAACTTAACTGTGTTGAATTATTAGCATAGATGGGATCAAACAGAACTAAAGATGATCTGCATTGATTCTACCAGCAGTGCAATTATTACTTACAGTATTACTCAATAATCAGTGATCAGATGTTCAAGTCATCAAAAAGAAACAAACTTTGAATTTCAGGGCTTTTGTGCAGATTTTACCCTCAGAGAGTTTTGTTTATATTCTGAAACTGGACTGTGGGCCAACTATGCTTTAGCTCTACCCATGCTGGCAACAGTAATACCAGCTGTGTGTGTGTTTTTGTACCTTTTAGTCAGCAAAAATGTTTGTTTTTTTCCCCTACGTGTGCTTTTTCCCTGTCTTGCTTCCTGTATGAAGCCCCGGGACAGATTTCACCTTCTGGTCTCTTATGGTGATCTTTTTTTAAGCTATTTAATATTTTCTATACTATGATCAATTGCAAAAACACAAACATTTTAGATAAATTAAAACTTTGTATTTCCATTATTTCCATGAATATAACCTATTTTCTATTACTTTAACAAAGTTGCTGGTCAGTTTTCTATGTTTTAAGCTGTTTTAATTGTACAAATGATTAAAAACTGGTGGGTTTTAGACCAGAAAGTATTGAACCTGCTGTTTGAGGCAGTCTGCAGCCAATAAGCAAACCTTGATCTTAAACGGAGAATGAAAGAAACATCAATCTGTGACTGGCAGCCAAATAACCTATGCTTCAAGCATGGCTTAAGATCAATTCTAACAGCTTTACATGCTGTTCAAAGGTCCAGAAAATTTCCAATGAAATCATCCAAAAGGGACACATTCAAAGCTTATAATAACCAACCAAACAGTGAACTGTTCTGTGTAGTGATTTTGTTTTGGGAATTGCTTGAGGCATAATCAGAACCCATTCTGCAAAAACAACAATGTTTTTATTTATTTTATTTTATCACTCTTACCTCGACTGTTGGTTGCCAGATCGGCCACTTTCTGGAAGGCGTCCAGGAAGGCGGCGACTGCGACAACCGTCGTCCTTGGAGAAACAACAGAGATGGCATTACTTTAAAAACACAGACAAATAAATACAAAATCTGTGAAAAGCACAGGTTTTATGTTAAAAATTATGCTTAATAAATTTGACAGAATTCCTTTAACTTTGTATGAGTGTATATGAATAGAAGTGTAGCTTTTATCCTTTTTGTAGACTTGCAGAAATCTGTACTGCTCTCAGGTTCAATATTGTGTTTGTTTTAGTTCAACATGTCAAACATTTTATGCAGAAATGTGCTTTATGTCGTTTGACAGGGATTGCAGTTTTGAAAGCATGAAAAAAAACATGAGGGCACTGAATCATCGGCTCAATATGACTGCAGAGAACAAGTGATCAATTTTGTATGTGTCCTGCAGCAGAATATAACTAAAAGTTCCAGGACTTATGGACTGGAGATGGCTGATCCTGATCCAAAAATGGCAGAAATGTATAATTTTGTACAAAAAAAAAAGTAATTTAAAAATTAATACCAAATCAATGCCTGCTTTTTATTGTTTTCTTCAGTCTACATCAAAACAAACAACTGTTCAGATGTTGAGTCTCAGTCCTACCAATAATCCCTTCATGTTTGGATCACTCATCTCTGCCATCTTCAGAAGGTAAACTGTCCTGTCTGTCTGTGTGTGAGTGGTCACATGGCCTCGCTGCAGGGCAGGAAGGACTGCACAGTTAAATGGTTGGATGGCCATGAAAGGAAATCTGTGTGCGATAGCATTTCCCATTTCAAAGTAGTGTTTAAGTGCAGGTTTGTTTTGCAGTTTGCCTGCATGTGCATTAGTTAGCAGCTGAGCATCAGCAGTAGGTCTCTGCTTGGTGTATGAACCTGAGCACACGTGTGTTAAATGCAGCAAGCTAGAGTGTCAGGAATATGGCGAACAGGAGCTGAGCCTGACATTTAAACACTTAATGAGGCGCACTGATTGGATTTTAATGAGCTGAGGTTATAAACACCTGCAGGATGCCATAATCTGGGCTCAAGCTGTGCAACCCTGAAACATCAGCATTTAGTGACAATGAGTAAACCGTAAACCAAACAAAAGTTGAACTTTTTAGTAGGTGTCTCTTGCATCACGTCTGTATTGACAATAGTTAAAGCATAACAAATGGTAGAGTTTTTTCCCTTCTTAGCACTCTATTTCTCTAATAAATAATACTGACATCAGGAATAATGGTAGCATAGTGATGGGATGTTTTTCTTCTTTTTTGCCTTTTCTGTGCTTGGATCTCCAGAGCATAAACATATCCACCTCTAAAAGGCACTGAAAATAGCTCTGATTCTGGCCTAGTCAAAGTCCTGACTTTGATCCTATTTACAGGTTTTGGCATTACCATGAAAAAAAAAGCTCACCTATGATTGATACCCTCTATTATCTTGCATTCGGTTCCACTGATTTGAAATTAAAAAGAAAATGCCCACAGGGATGCAACTGACTCATTGTGGGCTATTATAAACCGTTTATATCAATTGCTGATGGCAAAACCAGTTATGAGATTTTGGGTCAATTACCATTTAAACATGGCTAAGTGGTTTGGATGTCATTTTCCAATAATACATGCATTTATCTGAAAGCTAACCTGGGTGAAACCCAGGTTACAATCTTCTACTAAAATCTGACTCATCTGAAATTCGTTCATAAAAATGGAAATACATAAATATGCCAAAAATTTACAATAATACCAACAGTTTAGTTCCATGCAAAACTCAAGGAATATACCAACAGAGTGATTATGTGAAGAAGTTACCTTAGTTGTGTTTGCAGCTTTGTGGCTTTGCTGATGAAGTCGTCCCAGACGGGGTAACTGCCCTAAAGACAAGAAAGAAAAAGAGATGACGGGATATATGCATCCATACCTACATAATGGACTTTCAGTAAACTCCGACAAGCTTGAACACAGTATAAGCTTTAGAGGATCCTACATTTAATAGTTCAGCATCAAAAAGGGGCCAGATGACTGATAAACCACACTGTTGAAACAGGCACACAGTTTGTTTTATACCATTTTATTCCTTAAAACTATTCTTTTATGCATTTAGCAATAATCAGATTATTGCCTCTAGTAAAAAGTTTAATGAGGCATAACTTGTCTGACCTCGACAGAAAGCCTAAACAGAGAAAAGTTGGATCTCAGTCAGACAGGACAGCAGACAAATCAAAGGATCGATCCATATGCCCCACCCACAGCAGCCTGTGCAGAAAAGGGCCAAACAAGCCCCTCTGGGCATGCAAATCCAGCCCATGTCCATGTCCACGGACTACGATTAATATGAGAAAGACATGTGGAGCAAGAGAGCAAATGCTGCAATGCGGTGCTGCTCGATATGTGCTTGGTGAGGCTACACTGAAAGAAATGCTTTGACACTGCAGCCAAACACACAGAGACGCGAGGAAGTAGGGGATCCTTCTAATGTCAGCGGGAGTCACAGCATGCCAACCAAGAGGGCGGGGCTTTCAACCCTCTTTTTTTCACTGCATCAAAAGACCTGAGGAATCTCTGCTTACAGGATTATGTTGAACACAATCAACTTTCAACAGATTTGGTTTCAATAATAAATAAAAAAAAAAGACTTATGAATGGCTTTAAATAATGGCAACCAATCAGACTAAATATTCTAGAAATCATTCAAGTACAATTTGAAGATTGGTAATGAGCCATTTTAGATGAATATCTGTGAACTTCTCTATAAAAGTACCCCCACCTAAAGTAGAGTAGCATCGTATTGCTCTGTGCAGAAATGTGAATGCATCTTTAGAGCAGTTAAACGCCAACCGATGGCTACACAGATCTATATTAGATAATATAAAACTCAAACTGAAAAAGCTCAGATTCACGGCATTGGGAAATATTCCCAATGATATTACAGATATGAAGTTTCACAAGAAAAAGTACAATTTCTTAAGGTTTTCTCAACCTAAACTCACAAATGGTAGGCTGGTTGAAACTGTAGGATGAATCAAACTTGCCTGGTCAGGTCCAATTTAACCTCCCAGTCTAAATTTAAGATCTTTAAGATAGGTCTTTATTTTCTCTCCACCTCACTGTGGGGTGGAACAAAGAAATTGGTCCACTGACTCGTTTAAGGTGCATTGACAAAAATCAAATACTAAATACAGGATTAAACAATTTATTAACAAATAAAAATGATTGCACTGTGAAGTCCAATTTAGGATCATATACTGGACACTTCACAGCACCAAGCTTAGCAGCTCCATCTTAAATGTGTGAAAAGTCATGTAAATAAAACCCATCTGTATGACGGATCCATTGATGTTCCCTCCAAATGATCTCTAATGAAAGATCAATGAAGGGTCAATTATCTGAGGTAAACAAAATAAATACAAATCTTCTTCACGCAATGTTATTTCTTAACATCTCCCTGCATATGTGGGCCTTCTTTCCTTTCATGAGAGGAACCCATATACTTCACTCAGTCTTGTTGAGATAAGTCACTAGATAAGAGAGCAGAAAGATCTCCCTTATGGTGGTCCCACAGTTCAACAAAATGAGATCTATATGGCTAATTTCAAAAACCTGGGGTGAGTTTAGAGAAAATAATGCAGAAACTGTCTGGAACCTGTAATGTATTTGATTTAATCTAGAAACATGTATGAACTCTTCTAGTAGAGATACAAAATTATGGGACAAAATTTCCAATTAAAATAACTTAAAATGTTTTTCTTTTTTAGTTGAGTAAATCTGATGCTTATTTCTTTATTCAGTTTCAGTTTTGTTTTTTTTTTTTTAAGATTGTGAAAAAAGCATTGAATTTCTGGCTCATTAAGCAAGAAGCCAACAAGGAGCTATGAGAGGAAATATCATTTTTTAAAGCAATTCAATGTTCTTCCAGTCCAATAAATGCTGCTTTTCTAAGTTCTATGAATAGTTGCTTAAAGAAACCCCCAAATAAAAACAAAAATGAAACCATGATTCCAATCTGACCAAAAAAAATCTTTATTTTTTTTTTATTTTTCCCATAGTGTGTTAGCTTTAGTTCCAATTAGGGCACATAATCGATAAACCCATTAATCTAATTTTCTTTTTAAGAACATTTAATAAAAAAAACTTTAACTTTAGTTTATTCTTTGTCAGTATTTAATAACATAACTCAGGTCTCTTAAGTTATTTTTCTTTAAAACAATTCTGTTATGGTTAAAAAAGTTGGTTAAATGAAGATTTAATTCGAAGTCTGTGTTTGTGTTCTTTATTAAAATTAAATCATTTAGCAATATCATAAAAAGTCCAGGCAGAGCTGCACATAAAATATGGTTTCAAATCTTTTCAATAATTATCGATATCGATCAATATGCATTCTTTTTTTATCGATAAGCTTTTTTTACTATATCGCCCAGCCCTAGGGTGGATATTCGGACACAGTAAGTTTTTATAAACTATGAGAACAGCAACTTTTAAACAGAGTGTGCACAAGGAAAAATGGGCTTGTGCATGATCTCACACGCGTTTAACCCTGTAATGCCAAATGTATCATATTTGATACATACGGTTTCTGAAATGTTTTGCGTCTGACACCTTTTGCATAATTTAATGGTAAAAACTTTGCTCAAAATCCTATTGTACACAATCAGATATACCTGATAACAGAGGGCAGAAGACTACACAAAAAATAATCTTGACTTATCGCATAGTAATAAATTATTAATATCAAAAATGTATTTCTATTTTTTCTTTTTACATATTTTGTTAAAAGGCCAAATAAGGATTTCAAACCAAAAAAAGGTAATTTTCTGTTTTGTTTTATTCTTGGATCGGGCTTTAAAGGGTTAATAGGCGTTCCCTTCTCGGGAGCAGGTACAGGGTTGTGCATGTGTATTTTTTTTAAAGTGGAGAGGGCTGGTCTTTTAAAAAAGAAAAAGAAAAAAGAATAACAAATTGCAAAAATCCTTCTCTATACCTTTAAGGGAGATAAAAAAAATAAAATAACAATCTGACTTTTTAACCCCAAACTTGTTCCAATACAGAAAAACACCAAAATAGTGTAAAACTAAACAGCCTCAGACATAACAGCCAATCCTTGTTATAGATCAGTCCTTTTTTAAAAGATATTTTGCAATAAATACATAAATATAGGGATTAAACTTTATAAATTCTGAATTAGTTTAATCAGCATCTATTATCGGTAAGCTCACGATTACTGATATTTTTACAGCTTACTAAACATGAGTGACAGACTCAAAGCTAATCATTAGCTATTCATTAGCTGAGCCTTTGAACATCAGGTTTTCATTCTACCTGACTGCACTGATGAGACCAGGGTTCAACATTTTGGATGCAGGTTGAGTTACAATTTACTGCATCTTAGACGACACACAATTTTCCATTTCAAAGACAATAACACCTTCATTAAGGAACAGAAAAATGACCCAGTGGGAGCAGAACAGATTAGAAAATGTTTTGTATCTTATATGAAAAGCAAGCTTTAATTAAATGAAGTGTATGGAGGGGGTGTGGGGGGTCTCTTTTAGCTGCATTCAATGACCACCACCTCTACCCGCTGCATCATCCTCCTCACAGTTTCTCTATCCAATGGTGCAGCTGGGTGTGTTCAGCCTCTCGTTTGTGAGAGTGATGCCTGGCGTCATTGCCTGGTTACCGTTGCCATGGCAAAGATCCTGCTGCAGAGGGGATTCAGATAGAGAAGGGGTTTTTTTGGGGAGGGGAGAACCTCACGTGCATTTAGCCTCATCCAAAAACACATTCCCTCTCCTTCTGTTTCATCAGTTTGTTTTCGTTCATCTGACTCGCCATTTTAATGTGAATTACTCTCTTATTTTAGCAGCCTTTTTTCCCGTACACACCCACCTTCAATTTGTCAAAGGCACTGCCACTGGCATTCCTTCTTCCGGCTCATTAATCAAACCTTCTCTATTGCTCTCCATATTATACATGTATATATAGCCACATCTCATTACATCCTCTCTTTGGTCTCACTCTCTTTGAAATGCACACAGAAGAGGTGGCAAAGTCTCCGTCATTGCATCCATCAGTCAAAGAGGACATAAATTGTCACCGTGGTAACAACCAGAGGCAGTAGAAGCAGCCTGCTGGTCCTTCAGGAATGAACTGATCCATTTGTATAGCCCTGTGAGTAACTGGACAAGCTTAAAAATGGCAAAATCCTTTGTTGTTGTTGTTGTTTTTTTTTTGCTTGTTCCATTCAGAGTTTATCTTTATTGCTAATTTTGAAAAAAAAAAAGGGAAAAAAAAGAGTCGGAAAATTCTAGGCTTGTTTTAATTTGTAAAAATCTTTTGTTTTACTAAAGGAAAAAATGTATGAGGGCACAGCAATTTATGTGTGTTAATATACAGTAATTATACGTCTGTTTTTTGGAATTTTGATTGCTGCACACGAAGTAACAGAACAAAGATTCAAGAAATGTGAAGAGACTGCCTTTAGGCATTTCTTTAAAATCTTTCACATTTCACAAAATATATTTTGATGATCATTTCTATAAGAATGCAAAATGATAATTCTATTTAAATGCGATTTTGGAGATCTTATCACTTTGATTTAGTTTAAAGGGGAATCCCTCAAATTAAACTGCAAATGCTCAGAGAAATTGTTGTCAAAGTTGCTGGAAGCCAAATCAGTGGAGAAAGAGTTACAGCCAGTACTGTTCCACCAGCTTTAAAAAAATAAGTTACATCAAAATGATCACCTGTCTGTCAGTCATTGAATTTGATCAGATTAATGCATATTTTGTATCCAAACAAGCCATCTAAGTGCCTACATGTACAATAATGGTATTATCCAGGGATAAATACAATAATATGGACACCAACTCACACA